AGTGCAATTCTTCTTATCCAAACCCAGCTAATGAGATGCAAGCTGAATTTGCATAAAGGGGGAGGACTCAGATTCTTGCTGGTTTATAGGGACAATAGCAGTCTCCCAATCTGAATTTCTCAAAAGCATCAGCTCTTCACCATGGCCTGGTCTCTCCTCTTGGCCTTCTTCTTATCGTGCCCAGGTAATTTGGGAAGAATTCTCACCTCTGGGTTCATCTAATTTGGTTTGGAGAGCATCAGCTTCATGGTGTAACTATGGTTTGATGCTGATATCAAAGCTACCCCTTCCAACTCTTTGAAATCCAGTGGTGTCTGGATTTCAATCAGAGCAGCTCTTCCAAAGATACTCCAAGAGTGGATCTATAGAGTTTCCACCTTCATTCTCTTCCCTTTTTTTTACTTTCAGGAGCCAACTCACAGTATACCTTGACTCAACCTGCGTCACAATCGTTTCCCCCGGGACAACCAGCAAAGATCTCATGTACCATGAGCCGAGACAGCCAAGTGGGCAGCTATGCCATATATTGGTACCAACAGAAGGCTGGAGAGAGCCCCAAATACCTTCTCTATGATAGCAACAGCAACGGACGATTCAAAGGGTCCATCGATGCCTCTGCCAATGCAGCCTATTTAACCATTACAAACCTCCAGGCTGAGGATGAGGCCGATTACTATTGTGCTGGTGCTTACAGCAGTGGCGGCAACTGGTGGTATCCACAGAGATACACTCACATTCAGAAGTGAGACAAAAACCTCCCCTTGTGCTTACTTGTAAACACTTCCTTCCTCCCCTTAGTGAACCATCATCCTTAGCTGGGAGATACTGACACAGTTAATACTTAAGAACAGACTCAGTTCTTCTCTCAGATATATTTATTTCTAAGCATAAATATCTTCTCCTGCGTCACTTTTGAGAAAAATGAGAAATGGCAAGGGAAAAATTTGCAATCTTCATCATGGTTGTAATTTTAAAAAAAATTGTATCGATTACATATTTACTCCGAACCCCCTTGATTGAAATTTAAAAATATATCACATATTTCTCCTAGAAAGGAAAATAAAAGTTGGCTGGTCTGGAATTCTTTATGGGAATGCAATTCAACTACCAAAAGGACTCCAGTTTAGAAAGCAAATCTGAGGTAGAATTGAGTTTGAAGCAAGAATCACAATTTAAAATATGGATTTGTAGCAAACCCCAATATTAGATGTGTTTCTTTGTTTTTGTTGTTGTTGTTTTGTTGCCTTTATAATCCATATTTCAATTATAAGTTTGATTTCCAAGAGAAAACCAGTGGGATTTTATTTTGGACCATTCAAAAGCAGAAGTGAAGGTAAATTTACCTGAGAGAAATTGTGGGGACCGAGGTCACCCAGCGGGTTTCTGTGGTTGAACCTGAACTGATCTCTTTATCCCTAATCTATCACCTTAACCACTATTTGGCACTTAACTATTCAGAATCTGTGGTGTGATTGGACATGCGGCTTCCCTGACCTTTCAAAAGAGCCAACTCCTTCCCCNTTTTACCATTCAAAAGCAGAAGTAAAGTCAAATTTGGCTGAGAGGGATTCACAGGACTGAGGTCACAAGGGGTTTCCTGTGGTTGAACCTGAATTGATCTCTTCATCCCTAATCAATGACCTTAACCACTATTTGGCACTTTTCTATTCAAAATCTTTGGGGGTGGTTGCATGTGTGAATTCCCTGACCTTTAAAAAGAGTCAAGTGCTTCCCCTTTTAAAAATTTTATTTGAAAAGATTGTGCAATCTGTCTCAACAGAGGTTTGGCCACATGGAGGAGCTCTTGCTAAATTTTTCAAATATTTTCGGTGAAGAGAAAATTTAATATTGAAACTGAATATTTAAATTGAAACAAGTGCTATAGATGAGTGTGGACAGAACAGCCCAGGCGATTGGCTGAATTTCTCCAACGTGGATTTCCGTTTGGAAAACGATTTTACCAGAAATCTAAATTTCTCAGGGATTCTGGAGTTTAGATGTAACACTTCCTGATGCTGTTTCATTCGGCTCTTTCCCAGAATAATTCATTGGCTGCCTTAACACAAAACATTTCACTATTTCTCATAGAAAGGAAAATAAAAGGAGGTTGATATGGTGTTCACTTCTTTATGGGAATACAGTTCAACGACCATAACGACTCCACTTTAAGAAAGCAAATCTGATGTAGAGTTGAGTTTCAACCAAGAATCACGTTCGGACTGTAATTTAAAATCTGGGTTTGTAGCAAACCACAAATCTGTGTGGGTTTCTTTGTTGTTGTTTTTGCCTTTATAATCCATATTTCATTTATATGTTTGATTTCCAAGAGAAAACCAGTGGGATTTTATTTTGGACCATTCAAAAGCAGAAGTGAAGGTAAATTTACCTGAGAGAGATTGTGGGGACCGAGGTCACCCAGCAGGTTTCTGTGGTTGAACCTGAACTGATCTCTTTATCCCCAATCTATGACCATAACCACTATTTGTCACTTTCCTATTCAAAATCTGTGGTGTGATTGGACATGCGGTTTCCCTGACCTTTGAAAAGAGCCAACTCCTTCTTCCCCTTTTAAAAACCCCATTTGAAAAGACGAGAGAGTCTCTCTCAACAGAGATTTGGCCATGTGGAGGAGCTCTTGCTACATTTTTCAAATATTTTCTGAGAAGAGAAAATACAATATTGAAATTGAATATTTAAACCGAAACCGAGTTCAATTTGGAGAATGATTTTTACCCAAAACCCTAATTTCTCAGGGATTCTAGAATTTAGATGAGACACTTTCTTACATTCTCTTTCACTCACCTCTTTCCCTGAAAAATTCATCGGCTGTCTTAACACAAAACATTTCACTAAACTCTGCTCAGAACCTAATGGCTGCATGCAAACAACATGCTAAGGAAAAGCACCCAAACTTCAATGGTACTTATGAATGAGCAAATACAGTTGGATATATGGAAATTGTCTACGGCAAAACTTTGCAGGATTTCTCCTTTGACTGGGGAGGGCAACAGCTGAATATGAATATGCATCAATTGTGAACAACCCCGACCCCAAAATTCAATTCTTTATATCCAAAACCTGCTGACAAGATGCAAGCTGGATTTGCATAAAGGGGAAGGACTCAGATTCTTGGTATCGGTTTAAATATTCAATTTCAATACTATATTTTCTCTTCTCAGAAAATATTTGAAAAATGTAGCAAGAGCTCCTCCACATGGCCAAATCTCTGTTGAGAGAAACTCTCTCGTCTTTTCAAATGGGGTTTTTAAAAGGGGAAGGAGTTGGCTCTTTTGAAAGGTCAGGGAAGCCGCATGTCCAATCACAGCACAGACTTTGAAAAGGAAAGTGCCAAATCGTGGTTAAGGTCATATATTAGGGATAAAGAGATCAGTTCATGTTCAGTCACAGAAACCCGCTGTGTGATCTCGGTCCCCACAATCTCTCTC